AAGTAGGTAATATATACCGATACTTTAAAATTAATTATTATTAAAATTAAAATTAAAGTTGGAAATTATGTTTGTCATCGTGAAAACTTTTCAAGAACGTGCTTGCAAATAGGAAGGTACGCAATTCATTATCACTTCACGATGTCCCCAATTAACATACCTACATAGTTACGTAAGTTATACAATGAACCATATAGGTGCGATTTGGACACACAATAAAACAACCTACCTACTTAATTTACCATTTAATCTACTTTATTTCTTGCAATAAGTAATAAAATAAATAAATAAAATAACTGTAGTACCCTAACATGGAAACCGAATACAATATGATGTGGTTTGTAGGTAGTTATTTCAAAGCAAATATAATGTTTCAAAGTAACAATGTCGTGCGTCTATAGAAGGAATAACCGTTTGTAATATAAACGTCTCACATGACCTTCAACTTGGTTCGTCCTAAAATAAATGCAGGTATTTAGCACGGAATAGGCCAATACATTTGTTTTGAGCATTCACGTTTGTATACTAACAAACAATAATTAAAAGCTGCATTTAGTACATAAATATTTATGAATACAAGTAATATTTACCGTTTACCGGCCGGCTCGGGATGTCTCGACTAATAAATCAAGCGTTCGTTCGCTGCAAATGCACGTCACACTCGCTCTCCGAAGTATTGCCAGTGGCAAAATCATTTTGTCGATCAATTTTTCTAATCTGTAAACGCACCAACGCTATCGTATCTGTTGAGGGTGTTAAGATTAAATTTATAAGATTAAGTTAAGTAGTCGTTGTCGACATTTTATCGACAGATTGTGAGAGGAGACAACACATTCATATCATTTTATCCTGGAAAAAACTATGTTTAATATTATCATGCGCAGGATCGATTGCACTTAAGTTATTGCTTAAATACATATTTTTTTCTTTACATTTTGTGTAGGTACGTATAATTTGAGAGCTGGCAATATTTCCGCTTATTAATAAACGTCACTAAGGGTCGTATTCCAGAACTCTACTCAATGCTCAAGTCAGGATTTGAGTATGGTTTAAAGCACTCGAAATCATACTCAAGTCCCTGCCATTAGAGTCGTATTTCCAGTGCTCGTGTTTCAATTGCAATCCTGACTTGAGCATTGAGTAGAATTCTAGAATACGACTCTTGGGGTCGTATTCTAGAACTCTATTCAATGCTCAAGTTAGGATTGCACTGGAAATACGACCATTAGGCAGGCAGGGACTTGAGCATGATTTCGAGTGCTTTAAACCATACTCAAATCCTGACTTGAGCATTGAGTAGAGTTCTAGAATACGACCCTAAGCCCTTAAGTTGCGACTCAAAATTGCTCAAATTAATTTCAATCACACAAGGTAAGTACGGGACTTAGAGGATGGAAAAAATAGCCTAAGTTACGCGTACGGGGTCTTGGTCACATGGCAATAATGTTGTCATCGACTGACAGTTTGGTTGCGGAAAGGTCAACAAAGCAATAACCAGCAGGGTTTTATGCACATGCATGCTTCAAAACTTGGCAATTTAACTCTGTAATAATGAAAAAAGTGCCTGATGACATTGCCTCGAAATTAATTGACAAAATAAATATAATTATTAATACAAAGATCGAACACTCAGAAAAAATTCCTTCGATCCGGTCGGATGTAATAGATTTCTCATAGATGGCGCTACGACTAAAAAGTCGTTGAAAAAAACAAATATAAAGACACGACGCAAGCACATAGAAAAATTCGTAAGGTCCGTTGGTTCGTTCCGTGGCTTAGTTGGTATAGCGTCTGGCACGGAATGCAAGAAGACGTCGGTTCGAATCCGACCGGATCGAAGGAATTTTTTCTGAGTGTTTTTTCTGAGTGTTCGATCTTTGTATTAATAATTATAACAAACTAGTGGAGTAATTTCACAAAAAATAATTGAATATCAATTCAATAAAAATTTAATTAAAATAAATATATTTATGTTTGTGGTTCGTTGTGGCTACTCTCAATTGAGCATTTCGAAAAAAATTAAACAGATTCCGAAACAAAGTTCTAAGTACATTAAATGGAAAACTGGAGCGAAAAACTACTGAGTCCGTAAAATGCATTAAATGAATATGAGCTGGGCAAATAGGACAGGTCGGACTTTAACAGACCCCATGAAGCTGCCTGAAGAAAAATTAAGAATGCAATGATAAATGAACTATATATTTTTAAGTATACTTTCATTATAATATAAAAGTAACGGGACTTACTCGCGTAGTATTTTAGTCGGAAGAGGTCCTCAGTTAGCCTCAGTTCCGCGGACGCTCATTAATAGAGCTTTGAAACTTTGCGACCCGGATTACATAGATGCTGAGCTAAATTATGTGAAGGATGTGTTGGTTGGTAACGGTTACAAGTGGAAACAGAGTTGGCGTGTGGCAAATGCATCAAATGCAACAACATGCCTCGACCAGCATCGATAGAGAGAGCGGTAGCGTACTTACCTTATGTCAAGGGGGTGACGGATGTGATTGGAAACTTGTTACGCCGAAGGTACAGCATCAAGACAATATTCCGTCCTCTCACGCAGCTGCGACAATTGCTTCGCTCTCCAAAGGACAGAGACCCTCTGGGGGTCCCCAGTGTCTATATGGTTCCCTGTGGCTGCGGCAAGTGTTATGTCGGCGAAACGAGACGGAACGTGGCTACTAGGCTAGCTGAGCATATCCAATTCATGAAGAACCAAGATGTCAATGGATCTGCGGCGGCAGACCCCTTTCTGAGCTCCGGTGCTGGTCAATACATTAGGTTTGATAAAGCTAAGGTTTCAGCGCGGGAGAAGTATTTTGTGCCCCTCAAAATCCGGGAGGCTATTCAAATAAGTAGGCGACCAAATTTTAATAGAGACGGAGGCTGGAGCTTGCCATCGATCTGGAAGCCGCGTCTTCATGGCGCTCGGTATGCAGCTGCAGATGTCAGTGGTAACGATGTGGTGAGCTCTGTGTGCTGGATGGACTGTTCCCAACAACAATCCTACGGACAGCAGTAGCGAAGAAGAGTTCCAGGACGCGCTGACGCAACGTATCAGCCTCTCGAGTTCCCCATTGCGGACTGCGTCATCGGCGCGCGCGCAGAGAGCCGCAGCGCGCAGTGCTAGACGTGACGCTGTCGCGAACGTTGCACTCAACCCCTGAAGAAGACCATCGATTATGATCGAAACTAGTCGGACCGCTTCCGACTAAAATACTACGCGAGTAAGTCCCGTTACTTTTATATCATAATGTGTGATAATCGTGTTAGTTTTCATAATAAAATAAACTTTAATTTAAACTTATTTTAAATTTTTATTGAATTGATATTCAATTGTTGTTTGTGAAATTACTCTACTAGTTTTTTATAATTGTTAATACAAAGATCGAATACTCAGAAAAAAATCCCTCGATCCGGCCGGATTCGAACCGACGTCTTCTAGCATACCGTGTCAGATGCTATACTAACTAAGCCTCGGAACGAACCAGCGGACCTAAAGAATTTTTCTATGTGCTTGTTGTTGTGTCTTTGTTTTTGGTTTTTCAACGACTTTTTAGTCGTAGCGCCATCTATGAGAAATCTATTTCTATCTGTTATGTTATATTAGTTTGTAAAGTGGTTACAGAAATAACCTTACATCTAGAAATCGTAGCAGGTAAATTAATCCGCGTTGTGAAATAAAACAAGTTTTATTTGAAATTAAGTAGGTACCTATATTTCGGTATCAAGAAAAGCTAATCTTAAATTCATATCTTTAATCGACCTAATTGATAAAATAGTTAAATAAGAGTACCTAACGGTAAAATGTAAAATCAACCGAATTTAAAAGTATCTAGATGATATATGACAAGTTGCAATAAGATGAAATAATTGTAGGTACAATTTTGAAACTGTGGTAAGTATTTTGCGAGATCAAAATATTACAGTGTCTCAAGGCAAGTCTTTGATCAATGTGTATTGTAAACTGCGATGACTTATGGCACTGAAAGTGGTCATTCACCATGAGCCTTATTAAAGGTGGTCATTCACCATGGGCCACAATGAAGGTCAACTGAAAAGCAATACAAAGGTCTATGCTTGGAGTTGAGGATATCCGCAAAAGAACCAGAGTAACCGAAGTAGCCCAAAGAATTGTAAAACTTAAGACTGATGAAGATAGCGGTAATCCGTCGCAGCGCAAGACAGACCGTTCGACGATCTTTGGGAAGGTCTATGTCATAGTGGGAACGCGCCCTAAGGTTACGATTGGTATATAAGTAGGTAATTGAGTTACGTAGAAGTAATACGTTGGCGAAATATTATTTGCACCGTTTCGTCTTATCGCTTTATCTTTGGGGTACAATAGGATAAAAGAGTGAGCAGTCTCGGTAACGTGCCATCTGTATAGTGCAAACAACTAGTTTAAACTACCTACTACCTATATAAACTACCTTGTTTTTTGTAACTAGTTTAAACACTTACATGGCACTTAATTCTAATCTTCACGCGGAACTACCTTGTTTAATTAGTAGGTAAGGAAAGATTCGGCAGTCGGTATTTCATGAAGTACCTAATAGTTAATACCTAAAGACCTGATGAATAAATAAATAGGTAATTCAAAACTAGAACTCAAACAAAGCATTTAACGGACCTAAGTCCACGTACGTTTTAAGTAAAAGAAGTGTTTATGGGAATAAACACTTCTTCTATTGTAATAGAAAGGATAACTCGTCCTAAAAGATAACATTTGTCCAATATATGGCCAATGTTATTGGCACTTAATTCTAAACTTGGTAATCTTTATGCGGAATTACCTTGTTGAATTTGTAAGGAAAGAGTCGGCAGTAGCTAGTTTACGAAGTGCTAGTTTAAAAAAATGACCTGATGAATAAATAAATAATTCATAATGCCAGTACAGAGTACTAAAAAAATCGAACTCAAAAGTACGTTGAATTACCATCCATTTGCCAACACATTTCCAATCACTTACTATTGACTTGAAACTTCTATTGAACAAAATTCATCGTAGGCATCACTTCAAAATTAATATTACCAATAGTCTAAGTTAGTGGAGAAACAAACTCACTAGTCAACAGAGCCAAATATCAACAGTACCTACCTACAGAGATTGAAATTTCATTTCAGAGCCAATTTTCTAAAACTTGAAGTATATGTAGGTACTTATATTGTTATGAATTTAAGTAGGTAGGTAAGGTAATAGGTTAAGTAGGTATCCTCCTCCTGAGCTGGCTTTTATTAATAACATCCTCAATTGTGGTGAGGTACGTTCGCTGAGGTTGTCCCTTTTCAACTCTCCCATCCACACTTGTCTTGTATAAGGATACAAGATACCGATTAAAGTAATCGGTATCGGTATTATCTGGAAGAGCCACACTCGAGCTCAACAACGGGGTTGCCGACCACCATCAAGCGAATTTCATGGGAAAATATTGAAATTGTGGTAGCTGTAGAAATGTCTGAGGTGGAAACCCCAAAAAATCATATAGTTTTTGTTCGTTGACATACATATATCCTACGCCTAATTAGGCTTGAGTATAGTCAGATAAACGTGTAGTTTCTAAACTTACTTGTTATTTTAGACCCATTGTGGAAATTTAAAGATTTAAAGTAATCTAGTGCCGGAGTATAAAGTTGCAATTTGTTTTTATTAAAGCACCTACACACAAATGCACACAAGACAGTGAGAATATAAAATGGTAACGATTATTTTTAAATAAACAAAAATTAGACAAAGTAACAATGAATTAAATTTATATTTTAAAATCAAGTTGATACAGCTTTGCTTAAAGATTATTGGAAAAAATTCAAATATAAAAATATTTTTTATTTTAGATTTTGTAAGAAAGCGGAAACTACTGAAAATATAAAAATTGTTTGTATTGTACTGTGTAAGTTTAATAATTATAAAACTTTTTCAACTAAAGTTTACGAAATTTATAAGAACACAAAATCAAGTCGAACCACTCGACAAACCTGTACTAGTAGAAAATTAAAACAAATGAATGTGAAAAAGACAATCAACTACATTTTTATTTTCAAATTACACCTAAAATAAAAAAGGTAAAATAACCGGCCAGACTTTCGAAAAAGATTTACTATTCAGATTTACTAATGATCTGTAAAATGAGCCGGTGTGTGTAGTTAAGGAAACTCAGTTGTAGGTCAATTAGACAAATCAATAAGTGTCATTAATTGGTTTTTGAATTTTGTGCATAACATGGTATAACATTACAAATTTTCATATCAAGCTCTCAATATGGCAAACCATAATTCATCATTGCCTCAACATCTTACGTACTCTAGATCCAGGGTTCCGATCTTGAGTACGTTAATTGATTACTTGGAAACCAATCTCATGTACCTAAGACACAAGACCTATGCTCAGGCAGAAAAACTGCATGCCATGGCGAGTCGTGCAACTTCGTCATCTACTTTCATGATAGTGGTGTGCCTAATGATGGAGCTTGCAACTAATGTTAAATTTGAAATCGTGACCTTGGACGATTCTCCGCTAGTCGATGATCTACATTTCATGCTTATGAGCAAGGTGGACAACATTTACATCGACGATATTGATGTTATATTATATTGACGTGACGAGAGGCAATATTGACGATATTGTGTGAACTGGACATGTTATGCAAACAAGAAACAACCCACACCTCGAGTGAAATTGAGTTATGTATTTAGGTAGAACACCAGACGTGTCCTTTACCCGCTCACAAAAGATCCTGGCAATATACCAAGCCAAAACGGAGAAAATAAAAGTCCTTCAGGGTACCAACCCTAAATAAGTAACTTTTTAATAGCTAAAAAGAACCTTGCTGCTTGCTTCTTATAACTTCATATAATGTCTTTTTTTAAATATGCTAAACGGATCCATGTCACATGTACTGAAGTACTGTAGATCTTTGGCGTTTTCATTACGAAAACTAGAACATGGTTCTCGTTAACTAAATAAAAAGATACATAACGTTTTCTATATATTGCTCACTCACATTCTCACTGCTACAGTACATCATTTGTCTCAAATAGAGATGCTCCGAGTATAAGTTTTACCGAGTAACCAAGTACCGAATATTACTCGGTTTAACATTTGCCGAGGCGAGTACTCGGCCGAGTTACTCGGTTCATTACAACCGGAATGCGATGATCCTAAAAGCCCCCGTTGCTCTAGAATTAGGCCGATATGTCAATGAAAGTTTATTATCGCGAGAGTAGAGTCCTTTCCAATGGTGGGCAGAGCATAAAACAAAATATCCAAAACTGGCACAATTAGCACGAGGTGTTTTTATGTGCACCTGCAAGCACTGTGTATAGCGAGCGGTTATTTGCCGAAGCGGGTAATGTGTATGAAGAAAAAAGGAACAGACTATTACCTGAACGCGCAGAAAGCCTTGTAAATATTCCTACATCATAACTTGCCTTTGTTAAATTTTAAATATTAATAATGAAACCTTTCTTTTTAAATTACTAAATTGCTAGAAATTTTTACAATTGTCTACAATTTCTAGTAATAAATCTCTTTTGAATATATTAAATATATTGTTGATTTTACTTTATTATGTCTATAGCTGTGATGCTTTATTTTAACCGAGTACTCTTCTCATGAACCGACTTATTCGGCCGAGTACACCGAGTACCGAGTAGCAAACAAGTACTCGGCGCATCTCTAGTCTCAAATAACTTACCTATTTATTTCTTCACACTGTTTTTACAAAAATCTAATTATCTCAAAAGTGACATTTCGTGGGTTGGTTATAGTTTGCATAACTATGTCCAACTACATATCTCGTAAGTATCGTGCTCGACGGTAGACAGCCGATTACAATACAATATAAATCAATTTGTCAAAACAGAGGTCTGGCAACGTACGCCACGAACGCAAGCTACGCAGCAGAAGTTTTAAACGTTGCAATTTTACGAAATAATCAAGGATTAACATACTTTGTGTTTTTGGTTCTAATCCAACCAAAATATATTTTTTTAATCTCACCTAATGGCTAAATTCGACTTTTT